TTGTACCGTCTCGCTCCCGCCACGCTCCTCCCGGACCACTCTCTTTCTTTCCCTCGATTAGACTCCGCGGCGACCCCTGTCGAGAGCTCGGCCAACTCAACGACATGCCGCGAGATTAAATTCATACAGGCTGCGTGGGAACACCATCGTGCTCCGTGCCGGCCAGCGTCCGAGCTCGTCCCTAGACGAGACGTTTCGGACGAACGGCGAAAACCACGGGAAATGTAGGAAACCCGTAGACGAAGACTAGACCCGGATTAGGGGGCGGGGGGGAAAACTGGCAGAGAAAGCGAAGAGAAATGAGACGAGATCGTGTCGGAGCACGGCTCCGAGAGACGAGGTGAAGAAACGAAGAGAAGGAAGGGCGAACGTGGGAAGAGTGAAAAAGAGTAAGACATAGAATTACGGGAACTAAGAGGGAGACGAGAGGTACGAGGCCGCGGCGATCGTACGTGGCGGAGGGGAGAAGAAAACAGGGTGCCAAGGGAGGAGGTTAAGCTTAAGGACCAATCAGAATTGAATTCGTCACGAGTGCCGCGCCGGCACAGCACGAAAATTCCTACGCCATGTGAAAGTAGTTCCAAGTTGGAACGACGCCCATGACCGGCTAGGCGCCGCCCCGCGCTACCCCCACCAGGCGGCAACGAGCGAGCAGCCGCGGATACAGACACGTCGGTCGCCGTGCGGTAGAGCGAAAGCTGCACGCCACACGCGCGTCACGCAACGTTTCCTCTCCTCTCCTCTTCTCGCCGCGATAGCCGGCCAGCTCGTGGGGATACGTGCACCGCCACCTCTGAGTACCACCGCGAACTAACACTGCCAGATCCATTCAGACGTTCAAACGACCAACATCAACGAGGCACCTTGCGATTATTGTTATTGGCGAGAGCGGTCCCGTGGATCCTCTCGCGCGATCTCATTTGATCGACAAGGGACGAGAGGGAAAAAAAAGGCGGTCGGAGGGGTGGAGAGAACGAATGCACGGCGGGCGATCGTTCCGCACGCACGGGACGCATTTCATCCAATATGATGGCTTCGATTCAGGTTGAACCGGTCCGATGTTCCGAAGCGTGTCCGTGCCGTTCGATGATGACGCGATTGCGAGTACGAACGACAGGAATGTTATCATAAACGTCTTTTACGAGATACTTCGGCGTTTTACGAACCAATTAGACTACGGCCGTACAATTAAAACGCCGTAAAAGTGGGCCTCGTGAGGCAGCCGGCCGAGCGAGCGCCGTGGCGCGCGCCGCACCAGTATCGGGAATGTTTATTGGGATGTAAATGTCGCTGGATTATCGCCCCCGCGGTTCGCACCTCGTAAATTATTCCGTAACGAGCCAAGTAATGCCCATCATAAGCTGCTCTCAGGGGCCGGACCGGACTATTTGCTCGTTCACTTTCGCCATTATGAATGTTTAGGATATAACCCACCTACTTCGAGCAAACCTCGAAAAAATAGGGGGTTTATAAACACTCGCGTTTCACCGAACGACACCGTTTATGGCCAATTATTCAGGCGCCGTGCGCGTTTATGCAGCGGTTCAAACACATCATTTGTCACTTTTTATCGCACTTCGAGGTATCACTCTTTGTTCACAATCACATTTGCGGTCCATTTTCTTGTTGCTTAGAATGTCACGCGTGCGATGAAAATGTGATATGTAGAAGCATAAATGTTTCCAACAGAATTTCGTTTGCATAATTTATCGCGCGAACAAGAGATATCGATTCATTTGTTGAATCGCAGTTGCTACATCGTCGCAGGATGATGAAATTATTATAAAAGTTGAGTCTCTCTTCGAAAGAAGTTGATGTAACAATAAATGGATCCCAAGCGGAATACAGAATGCAGTAAACTCTGTGCTTTGCAAAAAACGCGCGTGCTTAATAAATGTCTATTTATATGTATACGTTACGTATACTGATTGTTATGTATAGAGATCAAGTATCGCGGTTCATCAAGACAATTGTCAAAGGCTCGAGTTGATAGACCTCTTGATGAAGAGACTTGATGCCGTTTTCGCTTTTGTGGGACTCCGACAGGTGGCAGCCCGTTTGCTTGAAAATCATGACGGCAATAAACTCCGGTTTTATGACCACTTGAACAGAATCGTAAAAGTCAGGGCCTTTAAGCTTATAGCGTGGTAGGACGCGTGTCGAATATGGTGGGGGCGTGAAGAGAGCCACCATAACGCAGAAGGAGGGGAAGGGTGTCAGGGGCTGTGTGGGTAGCCAAAATGGGCCTAAATGCCCCTTTTAAAACGCCATTGAAGATAACCAGGCATCCACTAAAAGGGGTTTATTTAATGACCAAGGTTGTTCTCACAGAACCGGACACTGTAGCTACTGACGACAGTCACCTGATGGCTTCATGATTATTACAAGTTTTTTCTTCGCCGGTGTTATGTTTTGTCCCCCGTCACCTGTATCACGAGCTCTCGTATCTGATGTTTCGTTCATCGTTCGAAATAAAAACGGGAACGGAAACACGTTAATCTTCCCTTTTTGCATGAGACAGATCAGAAACAACGTTATCCCCCGATACGATGATGCTTGTATTATTTATGTAAACTGCGTCTCGGGATATTTTCATTGAGGAGTAGTATGCTCCGACTTCCGCTAGTGCCAGCACTAGTAACGATAAATCTGGCATTGTTACAGAATACCAGTAACCTCGAGTGGATGATCGGCATCCTCTTTATGAATTTCAAACAAAACGAAACCGGCGATCAGGCATTCGAAGATGGAGGAAGGTATTAGAGGGCGTAGCTATAGCAACGAGAAGATGGACACGAAAGCAAAGGGGCCGTTGCACCCGACTCGAGCAAATCTGCACTCTTGCTAAACCAGCATCCATTCTTCATCGCTCTGGTGGCTTTGGCTCTTCTGGTCTCCTCCAGCATGGTTCAACGCACTGCTCGGACTCTCATTTTGGTTGGTCTTTCTTCCCTCCTCCAACCCTGCCTGTGCTCCACGCTCTCGCCTCCTTCTCTTTTGCTTTCTTATACCTCCGTCCCTCCCCGCTCTGCTCTCCAGGGAGGCCGGGGATGAATATTCGATCATGAACGAGCGTCAGAATTTCAGATAAGCGCGATTCTCGTCGTCGTTATTCGCGTGGATCGAAACTCTTGGGGATCAACCCGTGATATAAAGGCACTCGCGGCGGTAGATGATAATGGCGTACTGGGCGGTCTATTCTGACACGGTAAAGGCTTCGTTTCACGTACGGACAATTACATGGAGGTTCACGTGTTTGAAGAAAATGTGTGCAAACTAATCACTCGATAAATTTCAGAATTCTTTAATCACGCTATTTTAACGAAACGCTTAATAAATGTTATTGTGCGATTTGTAGATATCCACAGAGAATTTCGTCGTGAAATCCTCTTGTTGATACACTGATTGCGTTAAAAGTACTCGCAATTTCGATTACACTGAAGTACACTGAAGAGACAAAATGGTGTACAATACGAAAACGTTCTACTTGAACAACGTTCGAGTAAAGTTGTCCTTTCGTAGATAAGTCTCTAGACTTTTAAACATTCAGATACATATTCATGGACGCTTAAATTGCCAACATTTCTCTTATAAACAAGTACTCCGTTGGTTATTAGAAAAAAGTCCTCTTCTACTTTTTCGCAAGATCCTTTAATTAGTTTTCAATGTGCGCTACCACTGATGTTCAATCTTCAATTATGTTCGTAGTATAAAACAACGACGTCACAGCAGAAGAACTATACAATAAAGTATAGTTTACAATACGTTACAAACAATATACATATAACGAAATTCCGAATACCAATTTCGTACAAAACAAAAGCCACCCTTGCACCCATCAAGGTGAGTTAATACAATACACACCTGTGGTAGTTCGTGCATCGTTAACCCAACTAATTAACGCAAAAAATGTTTGCGAATTGTATGCATATTGATCTGCAGTATATTAGGAAGAAAGGCAAG